GTACTCCTATACGGTGGACCTCTGATAAAATATATTATATTATATTATATGTATATTTTTGAACATATATAACACCCTTAATTATCATGACTTGATTGATTGTTCAAAAATTTTATAGAACAGTTATGGTGCATTTCGATTCGTAAATAGTTGCTGCTGTTTATTCGTTTTCAAAATGAGATAACTGATCTCGACATTCTGAATAAAGCAATTATTTTATATAAAGCTCTGCCGTTACATAAATATGTATAATATATATTATCAGGTATTTTATATCAACGGTTGACTTGAAATTAACCAAGTCACGATATAATGATTACTCAAAAACAAAGTTCTACAAACTCCTCCGAGAAATGGGACTGCTACAATGAGTGGTATGTAAGTAAATTATACAAACACACACATATCATTATTTTGTTTGGTCCTAGATTGGTTGTTATATTTAATAATCCCTTTGGCTTTTAAGTTTTGAAATTTGTGGCTTTATTTTAGCATTAAATTTTAAACTGCTTTTAAGATTAAATTTGTTAAGCTTCTTTATGTCAGAAAACGTTTATATTATTACCATAAAAAAGTCATGTGATATTTAATACGTTATATTTTATTAATAATAAAAATATGTTGTTTTGTTTGAAATTAATATCAATAAACGCTTTTTATCAATAAAAATAATAATAAAATTTATATATAAAAAATATCTAAAAGTAATAAAAATAAAATTTTTACTTTGATTAAAGTTATCTTGAGCAATTTACATTAAATTCATTATTAACTAATAGTGATGACTATCTAAACACATAAAATGTAAACGTGACATGAGCACAATGATCTTATATGATTTTTTTTTTTTAAAAGTCATTTCTATTATATCTAAATAACAATTCTTTCCATTTAAGTTATGTGTTATTCAGAACTTCTCACGTTCATAAAGAATAGATTATAGCGTTCTAAATAAGAATATAAATCGCAATAAAAATTCTCTGTATTTTATCTTATACAAGTGACAGCTGTCGGTATACTAAATAAATGGGATTCACACAATTTTGATTCTAAAGAGATAATCAGAAAGTTTTGAGCAGGTGACACGAAGGAACACGTGACATGCCACACAATGAGCCAACTTAATTTATAATTATTTATTGGTTCAACGTGTAAATATGCTGTAATTAATTCAATAAAATCAATATTATATCAATATAAATTTAAACAATAGTATTTGTTGCAATTAGTATAATTTAATTATTTATTTTTATTTTTTCTATCTTTTCAGACATGGCATAAAACATGTTTTAAGTGCACAGAGTGCGGGATGGCGTTGAATATGAAAACTTACAAGGGTTTCAACAAATTACCATACTGCGAGGCGTAAGTAAAATAACCTAGAAACATATATTATATTGTCTAATTGTTATTTATTGAGCTTGTGATAAATTATGCGAAATATATTTTTATGCAACAATTTATGATCGTTGAAATTTATAATACTGAATTCTGTGACTAAATTTATTTATTTTCAACTTCGACATACTTCTAATAATAAAATTCAAATGTATCTTATATCATTAAGTCACATGTATTATGTATGTTATACCATCAGTATTGGCTATTACAATATCAATATAATCAAAAAATACTATATTTATATAGACCAAGAACATTCAAACTCTCTAACCCCAGTCTTTACATAAATATAGCACGTATATGTACCAAACCATCTCAATTATTAAAAAATTCTTGATTTACTGTAATGCCAATATAGCTCCAGTTGGTAGAAAATAATAATCCTATAGTTCTGATCGTATGTATTTAAATAAACACTGCTCAGAAAATTTTTCCATTAAATCCCAATCTTCAACTAGACCATGATGTATAAGGTGCTTATACATAAATGAGTGACATTAATAACTTAACCTTATACATTTCTAGTATTGTCTACCAGCGGTGTTTTTAACAAACTCCATCCTTGTATAACCTGCATTTACATCAATTCATGTCGATAATCTTTTTGCCATTACTATATAGTTAATTTGCTTAACGGTAGTATTGGGTGTATAAGAAAATTTATTGGATTTATTCGAACATCAAACATTTTTTTGACGATTTTTGTAATATGGAAAAAAAATTATTTGTCTTTTGATACAATTCTTTCATCGATCCATTTTCTGAAGTGCTAATCTTAAGGAGCGCCTTATATTGATCGGAACAATTGGTAATCTGATGAAGCACCATCTGGTAAATAGGAACCATGCGGCAGAATTTACTATTTAAGTGCTTCTGACGTATATTTTACTTACTTTATAATTGTAGACAATGTTCGACGTTACCGTGCAACAAAATCACTTTACGATGTTTGGTTGCTAGAATTGGAAGTTTTTCGCTCAATACATGGTTCAGATCTATCAATTGTTGTTAGCAGCTTTCAGCAGTAATAGTTCCGTTCGGTTTTAACTGTTCATAGTTCTCCATTTCTTTTTGATTCCAACAAATGCGCAACATAACCTCACTTTAATGAATGTTTTAGTTTCGTGTTGATATGGATTGTTTGCCTGGATGACCCCATGTATTTTTGCCTTTAGGATTATCGTAGTACATCCATTTGTCATTGTCTCACAATTATTGGAATATATTAATTTTTTCCAATAATTTGTCTAACCACGTATATGAAACTCGGAAACAATCCAATTCATTTTTTATTTACAATACATGTTATATGTGAATTTGTAAACATTTTTTGATAAATAGAAACGCTTCTTATATAGGACTTCAATTTAGTGGCAGATTACATAGATTTATATGGGAAATAGATAAATGCAAACGCTTCTTGTTTAGAGATCCACACATTTGATCCTTCAGTTTAACAGCAGTTTACATATATTTAAATGATACTGAGGCTTTTCCTTATTTTACTCGTATTTCAGGCACGTTGAGCACTCACTGCATGCTTGGCTGTAGAAAAGGTTCTACTTCTGACTTAATATAAGCTCAATTTAAAGGGATACTTTGTAAACAATGTGACATTTCCAATGTGTGATTTAGTTAGTTTAGTAAATAAAATCATTATAGATTCAATTTATCTATTTAGAGTGCTTCTAGATTTCATGGCCAATGCAAAAAGTTATTTTATAGATTCTTGATCATTTTGAGATATTTCGGTTTTATTTTCAACCAAATCATAAAATTTCTTTGGAAGCTTAAGATCCATTAGTAAGAACTAAATTATATGATGATATTATAGTATAGATATTTGTTTTTCATATAAATATCGGAGTTGAAGCAAGATCATAATCAATAAAGTACGCACGTCATAAAAAAGTATTTTGAAGAAGTATGATTGGTTATCATAATTAAAGTATTTTTAATCAAACTACATTGAATTTGACTAGTTTTCGTTTCATTATTCAGTTTATAGTTTTTTTAAATATATTTCTTTACATATTCTATGTAGTAATATAACACTTAAATGCTTTTTAAAATTGATAATTATTGCTCCGTCTTGATCAAAGACATTAACTTCCAAGTATCAAATATCCATAAGCCAAGTTTATGGTATTATGGTATATAAACAGAAGAATTTTAACAATGTTATAAAATATCAAATTTATTTTTTAAATTGCATTTTGCTGAGTGTTTAATCGTATTAACTTTATTATCTTTTTATGACGCAAGACAGTTACATTAGAAATACTTTTGTTTTTATTTTATTTGAACAAAAGCGAAGATGAACAATTTTTTATCTCAACGAATATAAATATCTTTTATATTTCGAGTGCGGAAAATGCGCTTTCTGGCTTCCGTAGAATTGTTTGTATTGTTTACATTGTTGCTGGTTGATTGTTGTTGGTTGTTGGTTGATAGTTGCTAGTGCGCTGGAGGCTGTTGAGGTAAGAAAAATGTGTGTCAGAAGTGTCAAGAGATACAATGCGAGCACAACTTATAATTCCACACTACCTCACTCAGTGTAAACATTACCAAATAAGTCAGCAGAATATGAGCGCTACATTGAAACACAAAGTTAGCTTGCTTACCTTACTCCATAATGCAGGATGTTGCAATAGTCATTGTCTTTCCACATATACGAGTAAGCATTTGTGTTGTATCTATAATTCTAAAAAATATTGTTTTCGTTTTGCTGTGTTGATAGGAGTGCATATTTGTTTACATCTGTGACACTTTGTTTATGTGCTCATGGAGTTTTGTAGACAATGTCACACCTCATTGAAGATGTGGAAATATTTTTTGAACAAATATGTATATTGTTGAAATTTTTATTATTCTACGTGTGTGCTTGAGCAATAATCATTCCATCATTCCGAATTGTTGAGAGGAAATGCAGTATAAAATAATACATAAACCCTTCTATAATATATTTAACAATGACTGAATTTTAAAGCTTACATAAACATACAAACACATATTAGTAATGAATGAGACAATGAATTTATATACATATTTTCTATATTGTGAATGAAATTTACAATTTATTTTACAATTTTAATTGACTTATGAGAAAAAATGTATAAAATGTTTTCAATGGAATAAAATTGTTAAATGCTTAATTTAGAAAACATATTTTTCTACCAATTCAATGTTCAAATAATAATAAAACACAATTTATGATTTTAGCTTCGTTCTATTACTTTCTTTCTTTACTTTAATGGCCTCCAAGGAAGGCTACACTAAATATCATGCTATATTAGGTACACAACGAATGAGGTAACATAGGCTTTAAATTTTGAGTTTCGGTAGGAAAATTTTATTTTAATTACAATATAGAAAGGAATCCTAAGCATTAAGTAATGATAAAATCCAGTCAAATATACCATATGTTATTGTCACAATCTATGATAAAAATTCACACATAAATTGGGTGTAAATGAGATTAATTATCTTAATTAAAGCTACATGAAAATTCTATTTGAAAGAGGATTTACTGAATATTTCTAAGGCCCACGTTACGTGAAGTGACACGGGCAAGTCTTTCGAGTTTGGGCACACAAACAGACAAATTCAGATAGTCCCTAGCGAATCGCGTCAATGAGAACGCGATAAAGGACTGGACGAATGACTTTTGAATATCTCTTGGTATTGTATCCTTCTATCTCACTCATTTTCTCACTCTCACTTTCATTTTTTGTGGTTTGTATTGAAAGCAACAACAGTTTTGATTTTGACGTGCCCACACGATAGACCTTCTCATTTTGTAAAGTGTCAAGCTATTATATATAATCTATAGTCTAAATATAGCTTTTAAAAACATACTCTTTCTTATCTAAAATTCCTAGGATTCTATTAGTGTTTTCATAAAATTTTTGTTAGCTTCACATTTGGCAGGACCCGAGTTCAATTCCTGGTACTTGCAATCTCAAAAATAGTTATTTACGAATAATTAAATACAAGAATTATTTCCAAGACCACTGATGATGTGTATTTGGCAACACTCGAAACAGCTGTATGGTCAGCCAAAAATTCAATTAATTAAAATAATATAAAAAACATAAAATTTTTGTTGTTGTAGTTCACTACTGTTCGAAAAACCTCTTTATAAAATTTTTGTGCTGTCACAAAAGGTTTACTTTTAAAGCTTTATACGATTTTAATATTTTAAACTAAATAATAACTACCAAATATAAAATCACATTATGTTTATTAAACAATTGGACTAGGCGATTTAAAGTAAGTCTAGTTATGTATCTGTTAAAACTTCAATATAAATTGGTGTGTAGGGTATTTAATTTTCAATAAATTCTAAGTTAAGTTCTTATCTTTTTTTTTTGATCAATTTAAAACATTTTAATTAAATGCGATATAGAACGTCGCAATTTTAGTTATTTACATACAAAACTTATCTTTTGATTTCTATATTAAACTTAATTTAATATTATTATATATCTATATATTATACAAATTTTAATTTTCAACTATCAAAGCATCCAGAAAATAAATGAAATCAATTTCCTTCATTTTCTCATGTACTGATCTGTTGTATACAACAAATTCTTACTTTGAAATGTTAAACTAAAATATTTTGATTAGAGGATTTTTCTATAGTAAACAAACTAAATAGAAATAGTTCAACCGTAGATAAATTTCTTGCAATTACAAACAAACGTTTAGAGCCATATGCAGACATTAGGAGAGGAGAGTTTAAATAAATTTGTATGATTCGAAGCAAAATGCGAAAAATCGAAGCAGTGAAATGCATAAAAACGTCACCATCACATATACTCCATTACAATTGTACATAGATACTTTATAAAGGAAGTTGATGAAAATATGTATATAGATAAAGTAATCAACAAAGGGCATTTTGCAGTTTGTCAGCAAAAAAGGAGTTCCTATACAATTTGAAAGTAGTACTTTTATACCCAC